GCATCTTTGCAGGGCACTTCTAGGGCCTGGGGGAGAAAATGTCCCGAGACCCTGAACATCTGAGAAGAGGGAACAGCAGGGGAGCCCTGTGTCACTCAGGGACTCCAGGATGTGGACTTAAGTCTTATGAACATAGAAACCAGCATTTCAGGGCCAGGAAGCAATCCAGCTTCTCCCCTCATGGCTTTGAACAATGGCCCCCTTGCCTCTTTACCCCCTCGAACATCTTAGGTTAGACTCCTCCATGGCTTGCTATGCCCTTATGTTGGGTGAGCTACAGGTTCTGGGGTGCCTATCAGTGAGCTGGGGATGTCGGGTACTGAGTTAGGGTGGTGTTCCATTGCTTCATGGGCGGGGGCTCTAATTCTTCCCTTACCTGAGGCCGGGGGTGGGGAGGGACCCATTTCCTCCCTCCCTGTGGGAGCCAGCCGCTGTACTGTCTCTGGCCTTCCTGGACTCTATTATAGAGTCAGCTCTCTGTTCCCTTCTTGACCATCCCCAGTGCTCCCCCAGGGAGGTAAGCACTCCTCCACCTTCTGCTTCTCCTTCCCTCCGGAGCTGGGGGCACAGTGGCGGGCCAGTCGTTGTGGAGTTTGGCTTACCCTTGGATTACGTGGAAAACACTGAGTCTGGGGAAGCGGGCCATTCAGTTCCTGTCTTCCCGCAGCAACTAAGCCCCGCTCCTGATGTGTGTGGACAGATGTGTGTGTGTGTGTGTGTGTGTGTGTGTGTGTGTGTGTGTGTGTGTGCGTGTGTGTGTGCGTGTGTGTGTGTGTGCGTGTGTGTGTGTGTGTAGTATGTACGTGTGTGTGTAGTATGTACGTGTGTGTGTGCGTGTGTGTGTATAGTATGTACGTGTGTGTGTGTGTGTGTGTGTGTGTGTGTGTGTGTAGTGTGCGCGTGTGCACACGCTTGCTTCATTTTCAGGGTCATCCTCCCTCTGGGCCTCTTAGCTGCGGCTCCTCCTCTGGGCCAAGGAGCCCTTTCTTCCTCTGCCTGCTTTCTTCCAAGAGGGGAGCCTGGCCAAGAAGCTGTGAAAGCCGCTCTGTTTGGCCCTGTTGAGCCCTGGCTCTCTCTCTCTCCTTGAGTCCTTTCCAGGAAAGAGTTACTTTCTTCTCCCCGATGCTCTGAAAGGCTCCGGGGGAGGCTGAGGCGAGCCAGGGCCCTGTCCTCAGCTAACACAGATGGGGGCCCACTCTTCCCAGAAGGGAGGAGGGATCGTGTATCCCTTTTCTTGAAGTGCAAGCTGTTTCCAAGCCATCCTTGCCCCCTCCACCCCCGCCGCTGTCCCTACCCCTTATGACATGATGTTACTGAGCCAGTGACCCCAGGGCTGAGCACAGCCCTGCCTGGCCCCCGTCTGCCACCTGCCTGCACAATGCTGTGGCCCTCTGGGATGTCTTCTGGGACGCTGGTCTCATAGCTGCTCTGCAGGAAGATGGGCCGGTTGTCATTCACATCCAGAACTGTGACGAACACCGTGGCCGTCCCTGTGCGCCGCTTGCCTACGGGGCCATTGTCTGTGGGAGGTGAAGGAGAACAGGCATTAGAAGGTATTTAAGTACCCCAGGCCATCAACCAGAGTTACACCGTCCTACAGCAGCCTCAAGGGATGGCGGCTCTGTGCCCTTCCAGACCATCAACGACGCTAACAATATCCAGGGCTGGCATCATGCCATGTCACAGATAAACTTCTCTGGCTCATTCAGTCCTCACAACAGCCTAGGGAAGCAGGCAGGATTCTCCTTCCCAATTCCGCAGCTGAGCTAAGCAAGTCACTGACGAAGGTGGGATGAATGGTCGAATTTTCAGGAACCTGTGCACATTATTCATTTCATAAAAGGGGCTTTTACAGCTGTAATTATGTTAAGACTCTTGAAGGGAGGCCAGTCCCATCATCTGGTTACCCAGCGATTAAGTGTCCTTAGAAGACAAGGTACTCTGAGCACAGTGAGTGACTGTAGTCCCTAACGGGAAGCCAAGGCAGGGGGATTGTTAGAGTCCAGTGATTTGAGTACTGCCCGTCTCAAAACACAACCATCAGTACAAGAAGGTCAGGGGGAGATGGGGCCATGAACCAAGGAACCCTGTGGCCACCAGACATGGAGGAGCAAGGAAGGATTCCACCCAGAGCTGTGGCTCTGCTAGCTCCTTGATTTTGAACTTCTAGAACCACATCTGTGTTCTTTTAAGCCACCCAAACTGTGTTGATTTGTCCCAGCAAGCCCGGGACCCACACAGGCGAGGAGATACGTTGCTGTCCACTGTCAGAGCCAGGATGCAGTGAGGGGCAAGGGACACGGGGTAAGACACCTGGGTCAGCCACCTCAAGGGCAGGTGTTTGCTGCTCCAGTCACAGACGAAGGAAAAATGTGGGCCCAGGGACACCGGGCTTCTCACTTCTCAAAGAGACTGAACATCTGAACTTTGGAATAAAGGCTTTTGAAGAAAAAGACTGAGTTCCCCACTAAGTATTATTGTTCCTTATTAAACATCAGGCTGGCCAGAGCAGTATGCCTACTGGATGGGCTTGGCTCTAAAGCATGTTGGGGCTCCGCAGAAGCCAGCCAGGGTGGAAAGCTATACATAGGTGTCATGGCTCCACCTGGGAAAGCTGCTGGAGGTCCCCCGGAAGATGGTACTCCTGCCCAGTGTCGTATGCCCCAACCAGGACATTCAACCCAGGAAGGAACCGGGGAGTTGGGTTGGCTGGGTGACTTGGTTTTTCTTTCCAGGCATGCTGGGGTACAGGTCATTCACTCCAGGGTGGCCCCTTTTCCTCTTCTGGGCTCTGCCCTCTCTTCCCAAAGGCCCTGCGTCAGCTGAGGATGCTGAGCTAGGAGACCTTCACGGAGGACGGAACCAGAGTCCTGAGCTTCTGCCAGCTCTAGCCAAGGCTGGCTCCAGTCGGGTGATTGCTGGGGGATGTCTTTCTGTACGCTGTGAATATACGCTGTTCCCATTGGTTAATAAATAAGCTGCTTTGGCCTATGGCAAGGCAGCTTAGAAGCAGGTGGGAAATCCAAGGGGAGAGACAGGAAGAAGAAAGGCAGAGGCAGAGAGACGTGCCCACTGCCAAAGGAGCAACAAGATGCCAGCAGATGGGTAAAGCCATGGAACACGTGGCAAAATATAGATTAATAGAAATGGGTTAATTTAAGATATAAGAGCTAGCTAGCAAGAGGCCCGCCATAGGCCATACAGTTTGTAAATACTATTAAGCCTCTGAGTGATTATTTTATAAGTGGCTGTGGGACTGCAGGGCTGGGTGGGACAGGAGAAACTTCTGGCTACAGGTGATGGGTTTCTGAAAGGCAGTGTCTTCCCAGGCGGCACTCAGGATGGGCAGAGAACAGAGCAGGACAGAGACAGCTGGGTGGGACAGTTGGTCAGAAGAGTGTGGCGTGGCTCATTCCTGCTCACCCAGTGCTCTCCACCAACACTGTAGAAGGGGATCCTGGGAAGACCAGGAGCCACTGGGGCGGGGGGAGGAGGGGGTGACACAAGCCTCCCCACATCCTTCTCCCCTCCAGGACCCTGAGGGGCTCCCTACTGCTTAGAGAGCAAAGGCAAAGCCTTTAGTTCATGGCTTAGATCTCTACATCCTTCCTTCCCTGTTTGATTATAGCCTTTCCCTCCAGAGCATGCTAGACCTTGGGCTAGAGTGTGGTGGGATACACTCATGCATGCATTCATGCACATGCACAGACACATACATGTGCACACAGACATACACAGACACATACATGCATTCGCACAGACACATATGCAGACACACACACACACACACACACACACACGCACGCACGCACGCACGCACGCACACACTATACCTCTCTTGTCTGCCCATCAGCACATCTTACCCTTTCCTGGGAAGACCACACCTGACTCTTCCCACCCGCTCCGATGTTGAGATGGGTGGGACACACTCCCCACCCCATCACCCTGTCTATAACATTAGAGATGAACAATTTACAGGCATAACCGAGCACACCTCACTTCCCCAGCTATAAGGAGGTACCAGGCCACCAGCACGGGCCAGATGAGATGAACCACAGCTAGTCTAAAGGCTGAAGCCGGCAAGGCTGGGGAGAATGCTTCTCTCCTGCTACACGTGAACCTGGGAGGATGCTGAGCTGGGGTGGCTGTCATGAATGGCCACCCTGGTCCAGAGAAGGACACAATCAACACATAGGGACAGAACAGCCAATGCAAGGAGACCAAAGTCCAGTGGTCCTCCCCGAGCCCTGCCCAGTCACTGCCCATTTATTTCAATTGTTGGTTGTTTGGGAAAAGTCTCATGTGGCCTCTGATGGCCTCCAACTAGCTGTGCGATTGGAAATGGTTTTGAACTCTTGATGCTTTTGTCCGGCCCTCCCCTGTGCTAGCGTCACAGGCGTGTGCCATCATGCACAGATGCACGATGCTCATGTCACCTGTCTCCCCTTCCGGCTTTGTTCTGGCATAGCAGCAATGAGTCTACTTGGTGGTCTGCGTGTGGCCTCGCCCTTCTTAGCACTGGGACTGAAATCACCCACCCCACAGTGCCCAGTAACACTATAAGTGTGGGGGGCTTTCTTCACTGGCCCAAGGGCAGAGTTTGGGCTCTGAGTCTGGCTCCCCAATGTGAACTCTGCCCAGGATAACTGCAGGCAATGTGCAGGGCAGCTGGCGCTTACCTATGGCCTCCAGCACGAGTGTGTATGCGGCTGTGGTCTCACGGTCCAGGCCGACGACGGTTCTCACCACAGCAT